TACGGCAGCCATTCCATCGCAGAACTGTTGGACACTGAACTGGTTCACTACGTCGTCGGAGTAGCATCGGCATCTTCTTCTTCGAAGTCGTCCGGAGCAGCGGTGACGACGTCTTCATCGAACTCGTCCGGAGAAGCAGAGACGGCATCCTCGCCAAAATCGTCCTGAAGATCAGCAGCGTCGTCTTCATCACACGATGAGTTTGCTAGGGTTCCTAGAAAGGGAAAGCGGTGAGCAGATGTAAGTCCGAAATACGGAGTATTACTACTATGTATATTAAATATAAGCTATGCAGCCCGGCCCAAACAGTAACACGCGCGTTAAAAGTTATTCTTCGAAAGTGTTTGAGTGTCACTAAATGATATATATCAATAGTGATATATGTCTGTCAGAAAATAGTGACACTTTTATGTCAGTAGTAGCATAATTTCAGAAAGTGTCACTAACAAAGTGTCACTATAAGCCAGTTTTCTACTAGTGTCAACACAAGCGGTTTATTGGTTTAATCAATATAATTAATTCCCCTTGGCTTATTAACCATGAGAAGCATGCATTAACAACCCAAGTTTACTACCATTGAGAGAACCGAATTAATAACAAGCGTATTAACCGATTGATTCTAGTAATAATTAATATATGAAACAAAACTAGTTGATCCTTTAAGTAATGTTCAAAATATTAATATGAAATATGAATAGGAATTAATTAATACTCAAGGAAGAATATTAAAGAAGATGAATCCTACTATAGTTAATATCAAGATGTTAACTAATTGTCATCTTAGTAACACTCCCCAATATTAACATAGAGGAAGAAATAACTATTACTATAACTAATGTCAAGATGTTAACTAATTGTCATCTTAGTAACACTCCCCAACATTGATATAGAAATAGTATTTAAAGGAAGAATTAATATTCAAGGAAGAAGATTAAAGAGAATAACTCACAACTTACAAATTCATTAAGCTTCAAAGTAGCAAAACCAAGATGGAAGAGTTTAGCTCCTCATTTGGAGACTAAACATGATGGAAAATATAAAGAAAACACTAATCTAAACTGAGCTAAAGAGTATATGTGAATTAGTCGTTTATTGTGGAGGAAATGAGGTGTATTTATAGGCTTTTTAGGCCTGCAGGGTCGTGTACCCGATCGGGTATATAGGGTACTCGACCGGGCCTTCAGCTGCTTCGTGGAAGCTGGAAAAACATGGACATACCCGATCGGGTATGTCGGCTACCCGATCGGGTATAGACACTCGATCGTGGTTAAAATCTTCCCTGCACGTTGCCTTGCTCGCAGATTTATCTGATTTGATTTTTCAGCAACTTACCCGATCGGGTATAGGTCATACCCGACCGGGTACAAGACCAAAAATCAGGATCTTCATTTTTTCTTGGAGTTTTTGCACCTTCTTTCCACTTGTGATGTTCACCATTGGTCCCTAAAGTGTTCTTGGACCTGTGTGAGCTCAGAATGAACCTAATCTAAACAAATTACAAATATTTTACAGAATAAACTATTACACCAAAAGTGTGTAATTTCCAAAGTAATAATCAATCTAAACTAATTAAAAACAAAAACATAAACATGGAAATTACATGAATGTCAACCAAATCACTAGTTGACCAATCAATGAGAAAGAGAGAGTTAAATAGTGAAGACATAGCCACCACTTATCAAAGGTCAATTGGACAATTGAAGAAATCCTCCCAGGCCCCAATTCTTGAACTGGGAGTACTGATTGCAAGAGTATGTCATATGGCCAACTGAGTATATTTTATCACATTAGGTTTAATTTTTTTATTAATTTGATGTTGGTCTTCTTGAATATTTTGACTTTTGGGTACATTGTACTTGTGCAGTCCCCCATATATTTTGTTTAATGTCGTATATTAAATTTGATAAATTAAAACTATAAACAAGCTAGTTATTAATTATTGTTGTGCGGAATTTAGGATGTTTTTAATTGGATATAAAATGATCCGGTAAATGTATGGTTCATGTGTATTTAATGAAGTGCAACTGTTGATAAGTTTCTTGTTTTCAGAAAAATCAACCTTATCATACAATTTTTTTATTAAACATGTATGTTATGATTTCGCATGTCGGATTGTGTAATACAAAATAAGGTGAGAATTAGTTTTTTGGTTGAAAATACTAATGTGGACCATCTTACCTATTTTTTTGGAAATGACTTTTCTTTATTTTACTAATAAAATACATTGTTCTAAAACTCGCTAGGCGCTAGTCCGGTGTTTGAGGGGCGACTAGGACGATTTTTTGTAGTCTTCTACGGTTAGGGCCGCCTAGCGCCTGGTCGCCGATTAATCGGTTCGACTTGGACGATTTTTAGAGGGGAGAAAATATATTTTCAACAATGATTTTTTCTATAATTATTTATATTCAGACGTTTTAGTTAGAATTTCCTCATATTCAATTTTAATCATAATGTCCATAGATTCTTGAAAGAGGTAATGATTAGGGGAAAAAATTACAATTTATTTCAATTGATAACTTATTGAGATGGTTAACACTATTACGAAATGTCATGTAGATACTTAAAATTCAAAATCTAAATAACACTGTATATGTTATTTTAGATTCTTAAACATATTGTAGTGGATCTTTTACAAAAGATATAAACTTGGCTGAGACAATGTGATATGTTTTGTTAAACTTTTGTCATCGTAATAATAATACGATAACAATTTATCAATTTTTTTTTAAAAACTATCAAATTTTAATCTTCTTAAGTGTCTTTTAATTAATCTGCCCCCAATAACAATAAATCCTAGATCCGCCACTGGGGGGGTTATATATGGTGTAACCCAGGGTGTGCCTAAAGAATTTTCCAAATGAGAGAAAGAGAATAAGAAAATAGAGAAACAAACTAGGGAAGAAAAGAGACGGAAAAGATACAAGGTCGGGTGACCGACACCAGACGGGGATATGGGTAGAAGTGCTGGGTCATGCTCCTCTCTATATCCTTCTCTCCATTTACTCTCTTCATTTCTTTTTCACTTTATCTCTCTCCTTAAAAAAATAATTAAACATAATTTTTTTTCTCTACCCCACCATTTCCCCACCTCTCTCTATCTCTCTCCTAATGGAGTGTTCCAGTTAATGGAGAGGAACCAAATTTAGAAGTGCTAGGGATATCAAGTCCTGATGTCAAAAGTCAAAACATATCCAAAAATAAAAATGTGGAATTTAATTTTGTAACATCACAAAAAGAAAAATGAGAACTTAAACACAGGACATAAGAAGTACTATGTTCGTCCGGCCGTTCCATGATACAAGAAATAATGACATGCATACCAATAAAAGTAGGTTCATGTGATTGCTATTGAATTGATAGATTAAGAATAAAGTAAGAATGATTTAGAACACACAAATTTTACTAAATTTGATAAGTGGCAATCTTAGTGGGACGGACCACAAAAGAAAATTTGGACAATATTAGCGGGACGGGGGACTATTAACTACTACCTCCATCCCACTATGTACTATAAGATGTCTCACAAAGGGGTGTGACACAACTTTTAAGAAAAAGTGGAATTGTGTGGTCGATATTGAATTGAAAAAGTGTAAATAAAGTAAGAATGAATTGTAACCATCCAAATATTACCAAATATGGTATGATACAAACTTAATGGGACGGACGAAAAAGGTAAAACAGGACAAAGTTAGGGGATGGAGTGAGTATTAATTAAACTGATGGATCACAATTTATATAATCATTGATTAGAAAAATTAAAGAGTACCAATAAAAAATGGAGAAAGGTACATGGTACAAATGTACATCTTATAGTAGGGCACCTTGGCATTCCATTTAGGTAATAATTGTGTGAAAATTGTATGGTTTTACGTGCTTTGGTTATCATCTTGTGTAAAATTGTTGGACTGCGTTTTGAAGTAATTAAACAATTTACAAAGTATAAGAGGTCGTTTGGTAACACTCTTTTTCAACTTATCAGGTTTATCAGCCAACTTTCTCACCAAACGCGTAATTTTTGGCTGAAGTTACTGTAGATGACCATTTTAGTTATTTTTACATATTTTTTTTATTGATTTAATAATAAATACTCCCTCCGTAACTAAAAAATCTCCTCCTCACTTTACTTTTTCGTCCGTAACAAAAAAATCTTCCCATTTCTAAATTTTCTCATCACACCCTCAATAATTCTGAAAATAATACACTATTACAACTACTTTTTTTTTGGATTTATCCTACATTTCATCACATTATTATACTATCTTCTCATCATACCCTCAATAATTCATATCCTCTTTCACTATTCTTAATGTACCTAATTTTGAAATAGGAAGATTTTTAAGTTACGGAGGTAGTATATTTTAAAATTAATTTTTTCTTAAATCAGCAGAATCAGTCAATGCAGTCACTTCAGCCATAACTTCATAAATTTGAGAAGAATTAACCGATTTTCGTGTTAAAAAGAGACTCTAAATCTATTGATTTTCTATTGATTTTACAAGCCTATCATCATCCTCAAAGAATGGAGTGATCACCCGTACCTCTGCTTCTCCATATTTGAATCTCGTCGCCAATCTCTCTGTTTTCTCGCGGCTCCACCAACTCTCATATCTCCCTCCCAGTCCTTCCTTCCATTGCACCAACAATATCCACCGGCCCTCAATCAAAACCCGCTAGCTACCTTCCATGCGACATTTCCAATACATATAATTCCCGAAATCTCCGAGCAAGTCTCCGATCCGGAAATAGCTAGCCGCCCTGCAGCGTCAACCATGCTGCCCCACGGCGGCGTCCGGCTGCTCGCGATATGGGCCACCACTTTCTGCCTCGCCTTCACCGCCGTCCACGGGATTGGCGTCAATTGGGGCACCCAAGCCGCCCAGGTCCTGGAGCCTTCCATCATCGCCCAGATGCTCAAGGACAATCACATTGACAAGATAAAGCTCTTCGATTCCGACCAGTGGACGTTGAACTTCTTCGCCGGCACCGGCATTGAGGTCATGCCCGGGATCCCGAACAATCAGCTCGAGCTGTTTGCGGATGATTTTGACAATGCCAAGGATTGGGTCAAGGAAAATATTAGCTCTCATTTACATGATCGAGGCGTTAAGATTAAGTGAGTAATTAACCAGGAATTTTATGTTGGGCGGGATAATAGAAACCATTAATTTGAAATTTACAATGTCAAACATGTTATAATGCAGATTTTTTTTAATTAAAGTTAAATGTTATTCAATATTACAAAACTCATAAAATTTGTGAAGAAATGTCATAAAAAATCAGCAATGCAATTAATAAACAATTAAATAGATCAAAATCTATAACAATTTCGATATTTGATCGATAGTTTTCAATCATCCACACTCTATATCATCACATTTTATCTCTCAAAACCCTTGTTTGCAGTAAAATATCTTTCAAACTCAGAATTCAAACCCTGTCCGGTTCTACGAGCTGGATCCGATTGTTTTTATTATTTTATTTTCAAATTCTTCCCACCTTCATCAACCGGGACAGATACTCGAAAATGCATGGGTCTGGGCCGATTTCAAGCCATAACTGCAAAAAAGGTCTTGATTTGGCTGCATGAATCGATCAGTTCCGAACCTGACTGGTTCGGGATTGTGAATTTGCCCCCTACTTCTATTTCATTTTAATTGCATCAGCTTGAATTTAACATCAATTCCATGTTCTCTTTTGACTACATTTTATTATTAATGCATGAAACTTTTTGTGTTTAAATAAATATGGTTGAATGAGTGTCAATATAAATTCTTACTAATACAAAGTTAAATAAGTAGTATATGAATTATTAAAATTGTGTGTTAACAAATATGGAAATGAGAATGTTCCATACTCCATCAATGAATAAAAATACAACAATGCTTGATGTACCCACTCTTGTACCACCTTATACTCATCATGTTTGTGAAGTGTTTTTGTTTGTCTGTGAACCCGATTCACAGACAATATTTTGTTTGTGCAAAATATTGTCTGTGAACCGGGGTTCACAAACAAAAAAAACACTTCACAAACATAGGTGGCTACAAAGTGGGTATGAGAGTGAGTAAAAACATCATTTTTGATAAAAATATTACACCAACATTCCAACAATATACTCCGTATTTGATTGACACTACCTACAATCATTATATATCACTTATTAATATTTAAATCATTATTACAGAGTAATTGACTCAATTATAACTTGTTCAGGTATGTCGCTGTGGGTAACGAGCCCTTCTTGAAGGCATACAACGGCTCCTTCTTGAAGACAACCTTCCCGGCGTTACAGAACATCCAAAAGGCTCTCAACGAAGCCGGGCTCGGAGACAAGATCAAGGCTACCATTCCCCAAAACGGCGACGTATACGACTCCGGTTCCGCCGGCCCGTCCGCCGGCAATTTCCGGTCTGACATCAGGGACCTGATGATCAAGATCTGCCGTTATCTCCGAGACAACGACGCCCCCTTCCTCGTCAACATTTACCCATTCCTCAGCCTCTACCAGAACCCCGATTTCCCGATTGAGTTCGCCTTCTTCGACGGCGGAGCGAAGCCTGTCGTCGACAAAGGGGTGTCGTACACAAACATGTTCGACGCGAATCTGGACACGCTGATGTGGTCCCTGAAGAAAGCCGGGTGCGAAAGCGTGAGAGTGATTGTGGGTGAGATCGGGTGGCCGACAGACGGCCACCCGAAAGCAAACGCCCAATTGGTGGAGAAATTCTACCGCGGATTTCTCCAGAAAATGGCGGCGAAGAAAGGGACGCCGCTGCATCCGGGCCAGATCGACGCCTACCTGTTCAGCCTCACGGACGAGAACATGAAGAGCGTGGCGCCGGGCGATTTCGAGCGGCACTGGGGGATATTCGGGTACGACGGGAAACCAAAATTCCAGATCGATTTCTCCGGGCAAGGGCAGGATAGGCTTCCGGTGGGGGCGAAGAACGTGCCGTACATGCCGGCGCAGTGGTGCGTGTTCGACGGCGACGCCGATGACCGGAGCGAGCTGGGACCGAACATTCAGTACGCCTGCTCGCTCTCGGATTGCACGGCGTTGAACGCCGGATCGTCGTGCGAGAATCTGGATTCGAAGAACAAGGCTTCGTATGCCTTCAATATGTACTACCAGATGAACAGTCAGGATGTAGAGGCTTGCGATTTCCAGGGACTGGCCAAGATTGTGAAGAAAAACGCGTCCACCAATGACTGTCTGTTCCCCATTGCTTTGGAGAGCGCCGCCGTGAGAATCGGCGGATTGGGGGTTCGGATAGCCATTCTTGCCGGGATCTTCATCTTCTTTGCACTTTCTTAATAGGCCAGTCACTTATCAGATTACCCAGGTTGATTTATTGATGGCACAATGACAAATTTATGTATGTATGGCACTCCCTTCTGATAGACATAAAAAGAACCTCCGATCCCGAGCCTGGGCGTGGCTGCGTGCTGCTCCCCTTCACGATTGTTCTTTTGCCCATCTTTTTGACCACTAGAATTTTCAGTTATAAGAGATGCAACATTTGAGTAAATCTTACTAAGTACTCCTCATTTCCGCTACGGTATCACTACAGTACTGCTATAGTATCGCTATAGTACTAAAAACCTCCTACTTTACATATATTTTTCTTAAACTGTGTGAAAAAGCATACGAGTCAATTAATTTGATACGGAGGGAGTAAACAATATGAAAAGTCTATTTATATACTCCCTCTTCCCCTAACTTTGTCCCGTTTTACTTTTTTCGTCCGTCTCATTAAGTTTGTCTCATACCATATTTGGTAATATTGAGTGGTTAGAATTCATTTCTACTTTATTTACACTTTATCAATTCAATACATACCACACAATTCTAGTTTTTCTTAAAAACCACACCACATCCCTTTGTCCCAAACTTAGGGGGACGGAGGTAGTATAAGAAAAGAAATAGCTCATCTAGAATCAATTTTACTCTTAATGAAATCTAGGTGTCTAACTCTCCTTAATTCACTCATTTGATATAGCAATGCCACATGGCTATGTTTACTCAAAAGTACTAAACTCTCCCATGGAATATAGCAGCCGCGGAGAGATGCATTGGTGGGGCCCAAATTATATAAACCCCAATTTTCTAAACCCCAAGTTATAACTTTTCATTTTTCTTTCAACTTTTATAAAAAGTACTATCCTCCGTCTCTTTTTAATTGCAACATGTTGACTTTTTACATTGTTCACATAATCTACTTTGACTACATTTTACACTATTATTTTATGGAAATTATATTTTAAAAAAATATTTTTCAATTCATCTCATTACAAATTTTCAAAATCTGATTTTTAATATTTTTTTATTAATAGAGATTAAGACATAGTTTCGGTCAAATGTGTGTATTGGCAAATGTGCAAAGGTTGACTGTTGTAACTAAAAAAGAACGGAGGAAGTATATCGAAATTCATAATTTTTTGTGATCTTTCATATGAGATCAATATTGAATATATAAAAATAGAATTTATTAACGGCCTCTATAATTATTCTTAAAATTATCTGTATACATTTTTTGATCTATTTTGCTGTCTGAATTGACTAAAGTTACTGTCTGATTTATAATGTTTTTCTTTATTTCATTAACAAAAGTATTTTAGAAGTTAATGAGACATGCAAAAAAGGAAAATTGACAAAGTTATAAGGGATGGAGGGAGTAAATAAAAGTGAGGAAAAATGTAATATTACCTTACCTCTGATCCGTCCCTAAAATAACTTCAGACAATTCTTATTTAGTTATTCCAAACTAAATTCCACATTTTCATAAAAAGTAATTTTTCAACACAAAATATCAAAACTAATCATGCAGGGCAGCTGTGTGCACCATAATCCAATTAAAGAACAGCTAGAAGCTAAGGTAACTCCACTAATCATTAATCAACGGAATGAAGGGTTCACAACAGAAACAGAGAGATTATATAATAAGATACCTAAATACGGAGTAATTAATTAGATTGGTGAAGGATTATTATAATTAGGCTATCCGTTTAGAACCAGAGTTCCATCTTCCTGCATAACAAGGAATAACAGAGTATTTTATTATTGTCTTATAGCCAACATGAGACAAATACTTTAAACGATCATATCGAAAGAAAGGAAACAGCTTCCTTGGCCAGATCAAATGTGACCAACATATCCTGCTGTAGAAAGCTTCCCAGTTTGCCAGCCTCGAGGTGATCTTGGCCATCATCAGAAACGCGTATTGCCAAACACGTGAGCCCGAGTGCGCGGTCCTGGTAGAACCAATTCTTCGCAAGGATCCTCAAATTCGCGTCGTCGCCTTCTAAATGTAACGTCAGGTTCAGATTAGGGAACATCGTCGTCGTGGGTAGACAGAGAACACGGCCGCCGCTGGCATCCATCTCCTTATTCAAGCCATCGGTCAGGTCCAGCTGTTTGGCCACCTCATCACACAGCGCGTCAAAGGCTGTCAGCGGCAGGTATGTGAAGGAGGCGCGGGAGTTCATAATCATCCCGCCGCTTCCGTTGCTATTCAGCTGGAACACCTCCTCCGCCACATCCAGCGGAGTCTTCCCGACGGAGATCCCTTTTAGGGAAATATAATAAAAATTGGACGAGTAGGGACTGTTCACTAGAGGGGTTGTAACGGTGACTCCATCTGCTGGTGGAGGCCGCGAAAATGGTGGCGGCAGACTAATAAGACGATTGCGGCCAGGACCGGTGAAGAGATACGAGAATTGGGTGAGGTTGAGGCGGGAAATCAACGACATATTTCCACGGCCGAGACCGACCCAACAGATGGACCCATCGTCGCGTTCAGCTGGTTGATCAAAGTGGTCGTCGGCTAAAAGGAACGGTAGGTTTGAGACCGCCCACCGACTCTGTCCAAATGCAAAACTCTCTCCGGCAAGAGTACTGTATGTATTGTACACGAGTCTTTTGTGATTGTAATCAAAAGGCCTTACCTGGCAGCCGCCGCCTGGAGCACTTTTATTAGTTGAGACGGCGGCGCACGGATCCCCCAAACCCTTAAATACCCCCGCCGGGCAGCAGGGGTACTTGGAAAAGCTACTAGAGGCGGAGGTTATTTTGTATCTCGACCAACTGTCCGGAGCAATGAACGTCAAGTCAGCGGCCGTGTCTATACGACATTGCAAGCGCACCGCCGGAGTGCCGACCTCTACGTCCACCAAGAACGCGCCGATGGCGTTGTCGTCGTCGTCTTCGTCATGACCACCGATGGAGGGGCTGACGTCGGCGCTGGCTCCCAGCCTCCTTACGCCTTGCCGGTGGCTCAGATCAGTCGCCCGGTCATATGGGCGCCGCGACGACGTTGCGGAATTCAGCATCCCCAACATGCTCATCGCCATCAACCAAAACAACAGCACAAGATCACCACACGCGGCCGCCATTAATATACCGAATATTATTTGAAGCTTCGATCTTTTAGTGATGGAATTCAACTATATATATATATATATATATACACAAATGATCCTGTCCGGACGTCCGGACAGGAACCGCCGTCCGGCCGGCGGCGTTTGGCCGCCTTCCCGGTGGAATTTTTTGATGAAATTTTTATGGCATGTTCTCCATCAAGTCTAGTTTATCCACAAAAAAATTCAGCCAAAAACTCAATCGGGAAGGTCATCAAATGATTTTTGCAAGTTAACTGGTCCGGAATATGTATTTTCCGGACCAGTTAACTTGCAAAAATCATTTGACGACCTTCCCGATTGAGTTTTTGACTGAATTTTTTTGTGGATAAACTAGACTTGATGGAGAACATGCCATAAAAATTTCATCAAAAAATTCCACCGGGAAGGCGGCCAAACGCCGCCGGCCGGACGGCGGTTCCTGTCCGGACGTCTGGACAGGATCAGGACTCTATATATATATATATATATATATATATATATATATATATATATATATATATATATATATATATATATATATATATATATACACTATGTATATATACTATGTATATATATATATACTATGTATATATATATATACTATGTATATATATATATATACTATGTGTATATATATATATATATACTATGTGTATATATATATACTCCCTCCGTTCTCTAATACTTGGCCCTCTTTCCTTTTTGGGATGTTCTCTATTAATTGTCTCCCTTTCCATTTTTGGTAAGTTTTTTCAATAAATATACCCATTTACCCTCATTCTCTTTCCTACTTTTTCATTCTCTTTCCTACTTTTTCCTTTACACACAACACACCACACCTTTTCCACTACCCCTATTATCTTTCTCTTAAAACTTGTGCCAAACCCTATGGGGACATCTAATAGAGAACGGAGGGAGTATATACTATGTGTATATATATATATACTATGTGTATATATATATACAGAAAAGATCAGGTCCCTCCGGAGGGACGGGAGGGACCGTCCGAACTTTACTGTTTGGGGCGGTTCCCGGTGGAATTTTTTGATGAAATTTTTTGAGCATGTTCCTCATCAAGTCTAGTTTGTCCATACCAAATTTCAGCTCAAAATTCGACCGGGAAGGCAGTCAAATAAATTCTTGAAGCTTACTGCACATTCTGCGCATATATAAAGTGCAGTAAGTTTCAAGAATTTATTTGACTGCCTTCCCGGTCGAATTTTGAGCTGAAATTTGGTATGCACAAACTAGACTTGATGAGGAACATGCTCAAAACATTTCATCGAAAAATTCCACCGGAAACCGCCCCAAACAGTGAAGTTCGGACGGCTGCTCCCGTCCCTCCGGCTGGACCTGAGCAGTCCTCTATATATATATACTATGTATATATATATATACTATGTATATATATACTATGTATGTGTATATATATATATATATATATATATATAGAAAAGATCCTGTCCAGACGTCCGGACAGGAGCCGCCGTCCGGCCGGCGGCGTTTGGCCGCCTTCCCGATGGAATTTTTTGATGAAATTTTTATGGCATGTTCTCCATCAAGTCTAGTTTATCCACAAAAAAATTCAGCCAAAAACTCAATCGGGAAGGTCGTCAAATGATTTTTTCAAGTTAACTGGTCCGGAATATGTATTTTCCGGACCAGTTAACTTGCAAAAATCATTTGACGACCTTCCCGATTGAGTTTTTGGCTGAATTTTTTTGTGGATAAACTAGACTTGATGGAGAACATGCCATAAAAATTTCATCAAAAAATTCCACCGGGAAGGCGGCCAAACGCCGCCGGCCGGACGGCGGCTCCTGTCCGGACGTCTGGACAGGAGCATTCCTCTATATATATATATATATATATATATATATAGTCAGTCAGAAATTCAATCGGATATACAACTATGATCTCGTCTCTAGTTCTCTACCTATATTTATAGTATGAGGTACCATACCTATCAGTAACTTGATTGGTTCAAATAGATATATCATTTTTAATTTAGACTTAAATAATTCAACTGCAAGATTCTGATTATTCTATATGCACAAATGTATAATATTTTACAAGTACAATAGAATCTACCATATTTATATGAGGTACGTCATTTGTGATCCAGTTACGGCTATGATCTAGCTGGATCATTTACCATATTTTACGTCAAAGGTATATTTTACCATATTTATTTGGAAGGAAGCCGGCGACTCGGGCAGGGCTATGATCCAGCTCGCAAAAGTTGGGTCATTTGTGACGTAATGTATGAGGTACGTCATAGTTGACGACACTCTCGTTTTTTCATTCTGTGGGCCCATCATGTCCAGTCGCTTTGTTTTGATGGAGAAGGTGAGTATGAAAGAATTTTAGTCTTTTACTGCCATTATCTTCATTCAAGGGATAAGGGTCAGATAGGGCCTCGAACTCGAAAAAAAATGTCAAATAAGGTCATATTTCGGATGCTCTGTCTGGCCGACGCCATTTGGGGTGGTTCCCGATGGAATTTTTTGATGAAATTTTTTGAGCATCTTCCTCATTAAGTCTAGTTTACCCATACCAAATTTCAGCTAAAAATTCAACCGGGAAGGTAGTCAAATAATTTTCCGAAATGTACGGTGTTGTTTAACTTCACAGTTATCTTCAAAAATTCATTTGACTACCTTCCCGGTTGAGTTTTTAGCTGCAATTTGGTATGGGTAAACTAGACTTAATGAGGAAGATGCTCAAAAAATTTCATCAAAAAATTCCATCGGGAACCGCCCCAAATAGCGTCGGCCAGACAGAGCATCCGAAATATGACCTTATTTGACATTTTTTTTCGAGTTCGAGGCCCTATCTGACCCTTATCCCTCATTCAATTTTGTTAGAGGTACCCATTTGGTACCTCATTTCAACCCCATTCCTATATATGTGGTTCACAAAAGTCCAACACATTAAATGAATTACTCTATATTAATGAAGTGCTTTTGTGAACCACAAATATAGGGAGGGGTACAAAATGGGATACAAATTGAGGTAGCAATAACTTTTTACATCTTCATTTTAGCCTCTCCTAATACAAGTTTTGTACACTAAGTCGGATGAGAATAGACACAAATTTGAGTTTTTCGCTAGTCAGATTTTCTTAGTATTTTTGTCCTTATCTTCCGGGATATTTGTTCACATCTTGACATCTACATGTCTTTTGTTACTATACTAGTGGGAATTAACGTTTAGGGAGATAGATTAAACGGAGTATAAGTCAAATTTTACCATACCTTCAAGGTCTCGGAGTAATAAATTATAAGATGCTCCTTCGTCCCTCTAACTTTGTCTCGTTTTGCTTTTTTTCGTCCGTCTCAAAAAGTTTGTCACATACCATATTTGATAATATTTTAATGATTAGAATTCAGTTTTACTTTATTCACACTTTATCAATTCAATATCAACCACACAATTCTACTATTTCTTTAAAATCACACAACACTCCTTTTTCTCAAACTTAGGGGAACGAAAGTAGTAATAAATTGACCATATGAAATGTTAGGTACCATAGCAGTCACATCATATTAATAGTTTTCTTAAAAACAGAGGCGGAATTGGGGTAGTGAGCCGGTGACCCTCTTATATCACATTGCTTTTTTAGTTGCACTTGGCCAAGAAAGAACACAAGCAATATAAAGAGAAAATTCACTAAATAGAATTAAAACAAAAATAAAGTTCATAAATAGTATTATTGTTATCTTATTCTCAAAATATGAATTATTCACTTTAATCAAATTATTTAGGCTAAAGGGTCAAATAGACCCTTGAACTGACTTAAAATGTTCAATTAGCTCCTTATATAGGAGGTTTTGCCCGGCCGTCACTAATTGGGGTGGTTCCTGGTCGAATTTTTTGATGAAATTTTTTGAGCATCTTCTTCATTAAGTCTAGTTTAGCCATACCAAATTTCAGCTAAAAATTCAACCAGGAAGGTAGTCAAATGATTTTTCGAAATGTACTGCGCAGTTTAACATCAGCAATTTATTTTCCTGTGCATTAAATACTAATTCTTGTGCAATATTATATGAAATTTGTGTTAGATGTTGGCTAATGTGCAATAAATACTAATAGTTATGCATTAGATTATGGTTCTTGTGTGTTCAGGGGTTTTAAATATCTTGTGATTCACTTTTAAAAAAATAAAAGTTTATGTTGTAAATTTTTTAATCACACTCTTATGAGTACTATTTAAAAAGTGCACTTCAATAATAATTTATTGCAACTCAAGATATCACATGGTGCACTATTAATAATTAATTATAAACAAGATGTAAAACTTATTTAACTTATACTGAATTTCAACACTTTACACAAATACTACAACACATTGCACAAATATACTTATAACTTACATTGCATGATTAACTTATTAAATTATTTCAAAAGTAAAACTGGTGTGGAAAATACGACCTGTATTGCGCAGTTTAAATATCAACAAAGGTACATTCCGAAATGTACTGCGCAGTACATTCCGAAATGTACTGCGCAGTAAACATCAACAAAGGTTGAAATACGACCTGCAATACATTCCGAAATGTACTGCGCAGTAAACATCAACAAAGGTTGAAATACGACCTGCGATTATGGCTTCACTCCAAGAAGAGCACTCCACGCGACAAAACTGGTGTGGCGGTCGAAGAAGGTAATGTTTTTTATTTTTTTATTGTTTAGATCAATATGTTGACATGGATGCACTACTAGAAAAAGAGTTTTTAACAATGAAAAATATGATCGTTATAAGTTCAAAAGTTTGTCGTTAAAGCTTTTAACGACGACTTTTTTTTTGTCGTCAAGTGGTTGTTATAGCTTCCCTCGTTATTGGTTTTAACGACAAAGTTTGTCGTTATTAATTAACGACGATACAAGATGTCATCGTTACTTATTAACGACGATACAAGATGTTGTTACACTTTAACGACATCAAAAAATTTCATTGTCGTATTATAACAAGATATTTAATCGTCATTAATCTTAACACAATTTGTTAGCA